CAAATGGTAATAACCACTCTACACACTCGACAGAATTTCATCTCCCCTTGTACTGCAGTAGATGGTGATAACCTGTTTAATTTTCCCACTTTGATGTTACACTGTCGAATTGACGAAACTGTTATTCCATACCAGGTGATATATTTCCTATTTTGTGATGTTGGTCTTTAGACAGTATCTCCTGTCACAGCTGAGTGTTGGTTAATTTATCATCTTGGAGTGTTTCTTAACCAAAGATCAGCAGTTCGATCGTTGAAGTGTGCATTGTGCAAATCATCTGACAGAAAAATATATTAAACTTGTTTTAAGGTGGCTCCCTACAATTTTTTGAAATATTGAAAACTTGTGGTTTTGATTTAAAATTTTAGCACGAGATTTCTTGGTAAGGAAAAGAAATTTTCCAGATATATTAACCAACATTCTAACAGTCAGAAATTACCCATAAGCATGACGTCATTACCGTTGTTATGGTAACAATGGCGATTCAATATGGCCGACATTTTACCTATTCATGCATTTTACTCGAAAACAAGTACGGTTACCCCAATTTTTTATTTTATAAAAAGTTTTCTTACAAAAAAATGGAAAATATGAACCAGTTAAAAAAAATTCTATGGAGCCAAAATTATTAAAAATGAAAAAACGTGATTTTTCGTTATAGAAATTTTTTGGCTCCATAGAATTTTTTTAAACTTGCTCAAATTTCCCATTTTTTTGTAAGAAAACGTTTTATAAAATAAAAAATTGGGGTAACCGAACTTGTTTTCGAGTAAAATGCGTAAATAGGTAAAATGTCGGCCATATTGAATCGCCATTGTTACCATAACAACGGTGATGACGTCATGCTTATGGGCAATTTCTGACTGTTAGAATGTTGGTTAATATATATGGGAAATTTCTTATACTTACCAAGAAATCTCGTGCTAAAATTTTAAATCAAAACAACAAGATTTCAATATTCTTAAAACTGTAGGGAGCCACCTTAATCAGGAACCTTCAAGTCTCAATGCATATTGATTGATGTTGGTTTATTTCATCAACAGATCAACAGGAAGAGGACACTCTGGTTCTACAATTTGTAAAAGAGTAAGTATTGCTAATTTTGATTTTACTGGACCTCTAGCTTCTAGGAAGAACAGTTTCCAACTAATAGAATGCATGTATGCATTTGAGTTATATTATTGTGTTTGGTGATAGCATCTTTCTTAAGAATATTGATTGATGTTGATTTATTTCATGAACAGATTATATGCTGAGGAAGAGGACGCTCTACTTCCAGGATTTGTAAAAAAGTAAGTGTTCTATCTTATCTTAAGATGACTAAGACAGTGGTCTTTTGATTCTAAGTGAAGAGTGTGTTCTGATCATTTTTAGGCCTTGCTTCTGTTGTGGTATCTTCGTCATGATTTCAAAGGTAATTAATGTAATTCCTGACATTATTGCTAATTTTGATTTTACTGGACCTCTAGCTTCTAGGAAGAACAGTTTACAACTAATAGAATGCATGTAGGCATTTAAGTTATGTTATTGTGTTTGGTGATAGCATCTTTCGTAAGAATATTGATTGATGTTGATTTATTTCATCAACAGATTATATGCTGAGGAAGAGGACACTCTCGTTCCAGGATTTCTAAAAAAGTAAGTGTTCTATCTTATCTTAAGATGACTAAGACAGTGGTTTTTGATTCTAAGTGAAGAGTGTGTTCTGATCATTTTTAGGCCTTGCTTCTGTTGTGGTATCTCTGGTGTATTTCCTACAGACCTTGAGATGGAGAAATCTCTTCTTCATGATTTTCAAAGGTAATTAATGTAATTCCTGACATTATTGCTAATTCTGAGAGATGACTTTACTGGACCTCTAGAAAGAACAGTTTACAACTAATAGAATGCATGTAGGCATTTAAGTTATCTTAATGTGTTTGGTGATAGCATCTTTCTTAAGAATATTGATTGATGTTGATTTATTTCATCAACAGATTATATGCTGAGGAAGAGGACACTCTACTTCCAGGATTTCTAAAAAAGTAAGTGTTTTATCTTATCTTAAGATGACTAAGACAGTGGTCTTTTAATTCTGAGTGATTCTGAGTGTGTTCTGAATTTTTAGGCCTTGCTTCTGTTGTGGTATCTCTGGTGTATTTCCTACAGACCTTGAGATGGAGAAATCTCTTCGTCATGATTTTCAAAGGTAATTAATGTAATTCCTAACATATTATTGCTAATTCTGAGAGATGATTTACTGGACCTCTAGGAAGAACAGTTTAGAACTGATAGAGTTATCCAGTATAAATAAAGTTAGTTTAGTTTAGGTTTCCTCCTGTAGTAACACTGGATCAATAAGAGATGATCCTTACTGGACCTTAGGAAGAACAGTTTACAACTAATAGAATGCATGTAGGCATTTGAGTTATATTGGTGATAGCATCTTTCTTAAGAATATTGATTGATTGATTTATTTCATCAACAGATTATATGCTGAGGAAGACGACACTCTACTTCCAGGATTTGTAAAAAAGTAAGTGTTCTATCTTATCTTAAGATGACTAAGACAGTGGTCTTTTGATTCTGAGTAAAGAGTGTGTTCTGGATTTTTAAGGCCTTGCTTCTGTGTGTATCTCTGGTGTATTTCCTACAGACCCTTGAGATGGAGGAATCTCTTCGTCATGATTTCAAAGGTAATTAATGTAATTCCTGACATTATTGCTAATTTTGATTTTACTGGACCTCTAGGAAGAACAGTTTACAACTAATAGAATGCATGTATGCATTTGAGTTATGTTATTGTATTATTTGGTGATAGCATCTTTCTTAAGAATATTGATTGATGTTGATTTATTTCGTTAACAGATTATATGCTGAGGAAGAGGACACTCTACTTCTAGGATTTCTAAAAGAGTAAGTGTTCTATCTTATCTTAAGATGACTAAGACAGTGGTTTTTTGATTCTAAGTGAAGAGTGTGTTCTGATCATTTTTAGGCCTTGCTTCTGTTGTGGTATCTCTGGTGTATTTCCTACAGACCTTTGAGATGGAGAAATCTCTTCTTCATGATTTTCAAAGGTAATTAATGTAATTCCTAACATATTATTGCTAATTCTGAGAGAGGATTTACTGGACCTCTAGGAAGAACAGTTTAGAACTGATAGAGTTATCCAGTATAAATAAAGTTAGTTTAGTTTAGGTTTCCTCCTGTAGTAACACTGGATCAATAAGAGATGATCCTTACTGGACCTCTAGGAAGAACAGTTTAGAACTGATAGAGCTATCCAGTATAAATAAAGTTAGTTTAGTTTAGGTTTCCCCCTGTAGTAACACTGGATCAATAAGAGATGATCCTTACTGGACCTCTAGGAAGAACAGTTTAGAACTAATGGGATGCGCATGTAGGCATTTGAGCTATATTAATATATAGCATCTTTCTTAAGAATATTGATTCATGTCGATTTATTTCATCAACAGATTATATGCTGAGGAAGAGGACACTCTACTTCCAGGATTTGTAAAAAAGTAAGTGTTCTATCTTATCTTAAGATGACTAAGACAGTGGTCTTTTGATTCTGAATGATTCTAAGTGTGTTCTGAATTTTTAGGTCTTGCTTCTGTAGTGGTATCTCTGGTGTATTTCCTACAGACCCTTGAGATGGAGAAATCTCTTCGTCATGATTTCAAAGGTAATTAATGTAATTCCTGACATTATTGCTAATTTTGATTTTGATTTTTTAAAAATTTCTAAAAATGTGTTAACATGTTGAAAATGGCTCTAATCAGTATCTTAACACATTTTTAGAAAATTTTCAAATATCCTCAGTTTTCGCCAAAATAGTAAGGGGTACCCCTTTGGCCAAAATGTATGACTTTTAAATATATGGTAAGGCTTACCCCTTACCATTTTGCCAAAATTGACCACTTTCTAAAATTTTCTAAAACAAGTAACATGTTTAGCACGTTAACGTGGCTAAAAATGGCTTGCTGAGATATATTTGGTTGGTTTTTGGTTTTTATCAATTTTGGCCAAAATGGTAAGGCTTACCGCTTTTTCGATCTTCATTTTTAGCATGTTAACACAGCTTTAGAAAATTTTGAAAAGTCATCAATTTTCACCAAAATCGTAAGGGGTAAGCTTAGGAAGGGGTGACCCTTACCATTTTGGTCAATTTTGACGACTTTTTGAACTGTTTAAAAATGGCTTCCTAAGACTAATATCTTTCATTTTAGAGAATATTTGGTTGGTTTTTGGAACATTGAAAAAGCGGTCAATTTTGGCCGAAATGGTAAGGCTTACCGCTTTTTCGATCGTATTTTTAGCATGTTAACACAGTTTTAGAAATCGTAAGGGGTAAGCCTTAATTTTGGTCAAAATTGACCGCTTTTTCAATGTTCCAAAAACCAACCAAATATTCTCTAAAATGGAAGATTTTGGTCTTTTGAAGCCATTTTTAGCATTTTAAGACAGTTTTTGAACAGTTGAAAAAGTCGTCAAAATTGACCAAAATGGTAAGGGGTAAGCCTTACCATTTTGATCAATTTTGACGATTTTTCAATGTTCCAAAAACCAACCAAATATGCTCTAAAATGGAAGATATTAGTCTTAGGAAGCCATTTTTAACATTTTAAGACAGTTTTTGAACAGTTCAAAAAGTCGTCAAAATTGGGCAAAATGGTAATAGGCCGTAGAAGATGCTTAGAAAACGGATTCCGTTGCACCCCTCGTGGAACTACATAATTTTCACATGAATCAATAGATAAAAACTTACTTTATCAGAATCCGTCGCTCCCCAAGCGAAACAGGTGCACGATTGGGAAAACAATCCCTCCAAAGTTTGATATTTTCGCGCTTTGAAATATTCAAATCGCCATTGTTTTAGTAGCAAATACGCATGCGCTTCTCAGCCAAACTCGCACTGCGCACGCGCATAAGCACGCACATGCTTCGAAGTGGAACTAAGTTATGCAAAATAATCATGGCTGAAGATATTTATAACACTCGAATATCCTCATGTTTTATTCATTTTGATGGCGTTACGGAGCAACTTTGCACGCCAAGTTACACGCCAAAGGCTCAAGAAATTTCTTGAGTGTAGGTCTAAATGGGCCAAACTTAAATGTCAACAAGCTGAAATAGCTAAGAAATCTTACGAGAACATCGATGACGGATCTGTGAATTCATACATGGAGAAGAACCCTGACAGCATTAACTTAGAATGGTACCATCATATGAAATGCTGGAAGAGATTTTGTGATGAAGAGAAGATCCGTAGACAACAGCGGAAAGAAGAAAAAAGAGAAGGAACTAGCTCTGAAACTGTAACTCCTACCGAAGGACTACATGTGAAAGTGGAGCCAATGGAACCAAGGCGAAAAATTACACGCCAATCAGTCGCAGACGTTAATAACACCCTACCTAAAAGAAACGAGCATGTACTTCCAGAGATATGTATTGTTTGTGGAAGAGACGCTTCTTGGTTCTCAATAGACAAGGTATGGTCATTTTGATAGATATATTTATGCTAGTGCAATGTGCACTAGTAGCACAACATTCTCGGGTTTGGTTTTAAAATATCTTGTTCACACCAGGTAACTAAGAAGAGAAGAAGAGCCCCACTCATGTTGGCAGAAACAATTGATGCTGGTCTTCTACGTACAGCTGCCAAGAGAAAAATGATGAAGGCATACTCGTGCAAATCCGGGGGAAAGACTGTGTAGCACTGGAAGTCCGCTATCACAAAGTTTGCTACTGCAATTATACAAAATTTCTCACCAGAGAGACAAAGAAGCAATTGGAGACTGAAAGATCTACATCAGTGTACGAGAAGTCTTATGATGATGTCTTCTGTAAGAAAAAAATCGAGACTGAGGTCATTGCAAATAAGCAAGTAAGGTATATGAAAGATTTGCTGGAGAAATTTGTTATCATTGCTGAGGACACCGAGAATGTGGATGCATCTAAATATAGAGCTTTTAAACTCAAGCAACGACTGATGAAAAGTTATCCCCAACTTGTGTTCTATGTACGAAAATGAGAAATGTTAGTGAGATTGTATATTGTTGATTGATTGTAAATGTTAGTGAGATGAGATTGTATAGATTGGGTTCTAACCCTAACCAGACAAAAACCAGGACAGCTTATTGTAGATTGTAGAATACAAGCAAACTCGTCCTGAGCGTAGGCCCTTGACCAGCCTTGGCTTTGGCATTGAACTGATGAAAATCTAGTCTCAAGGAAGAAAACATGCATTGCTTTCAATTATAGATACTTATGATGAAATTATGGATTTTATATTTCTTCCCAATTTATCTTTTTTTATGATGAACTTCGAGTTGGTGCCTGGAACATGTTTTTGTCACAGTTAAAGGTCGTTCGCTGGCGCATTCTGGCTTCGTCGGTTGGAACAGATGGGTTGGAAAAGATGGTTGGAAAAGATTGTTGGAACGAATGGAAAAGTTGGTCCAAATCCAAGATTGATATCCATAGAATATACTTCAGCGATGGATGGAACGCACAATTAAAGAAGCGCCAAACATACCTTGCATAGTTATTCAATAATACATTAAATTTAGAAATTCAATCAGAGGTTTTCCTAGGAGTTTATATAAATACCCCTAAAGCCCAGGACAAACTGGAAAACATTGTTGCGCAAAGATATTTGTCATACTATTTTTCTTACCAATGTTTCGGTATGTCATATTGTTTTACCAGCATCGGCGAACGGAGAGATAGTGTGGAATTAAATGTTTCCAAATTTGGTAGGAAATATTTTTGCTTTCCGGGAAGCAAATTTTGTTTCTGCAATAAAAGCCAATGTTTCCAGATGTGGGAGACAGAGAAACATTGGACGGCAAACATTGAAAATCACGAATATTTTCGCGACAATGTTTCTTGCGTTTGGCCAAGGCTATATTCAAGCGAAATATTTAACTTGTTCCTTGAATGTGTGAGTTTTATGTATATTTATATATTCTCCGTCCTGTTTGATACAGGTGGGTTTTTTACCTCGCAAATTTTTATTGAATTAAGATGTGAATAAGTAGAATTTTACGTTAAAACGGTATTTTGAAACAATAGCCAATGAATTGAAGTGATTTAGCATATGAGCAAGGAAAATATACAATGTGTTTTAACAATATTTAATGTGCGTGTATTTATTCGTTAATATTACAAGGTTTGGTCTTTATTTCGTGATTTTATTTTGTTGTTTTTACACGGGAAATCGGGGAAAACCCACAGGGAAAATCCATTTTTCCTGTTTGCGCGTGCGCAGTGCGAGTTTGGCTGAGAAGCGCATGCGTATTTGCTACTAAAACAATGGCGGTTCGAATATTTCGAAGCGCGAATATAGCAAACTTTGGACGGATTGTTTTCCCAATTGTGCACCTGTTTCACTTGGGGAGCGACGGATTCTGATAAAGTAAGTTTTTATCTATTGATTCATGTAAAAATTACGTAGTTCCACGAAGGGTGCAACGGAATTGCATCTTTTGGATGCTCATCCTACGGCCTATAAGGGTGAGCCTTCCATTTTGGTCAATTTTGACCACTTTTTCATTCTTCCAAAAACCAACCAGATGTGCTCTAAAATGAAAGATATTAGTCTTAGCAAGCCATTTTTAGCAATTTAAGACAGTTTTTTGAACAGTTCAAAAAGTCTTCAAAATTGACTGGAACTCTTCCGACATGAATTTTGGTGTATTTTCGATTGACAAAGAAAGGCAGTATGGTGTTTGATCATTGATTATGGAGCACTTCCGACTGGAATTTTGGAGTATTTTCAATTGTGAGTTAAAGGCAAGAAGCAAACATTTTTCCAGTGCAAGCAATTTGAACTTCTTTGGAACGATGCAGACGTTATTCATCCCATGGGTTATGGAGCTCTTCCGACATGAATTTTGGTGTATTTTCGATTGACAAAGAATGGCAGTATGGTGTTTGATCCAGGGGCGTCGGAACGCCGCCAGAAGTGAGGGGGCCCACAAAGTGCCTGCCAAGTGCCAAATGTGGGCAACTTTCTAAGAGGTTACACTGTTACAGGGGCATGCCTTCCCTCTGGGAAATTTTTAAAACCAGAGTCTGAACACTGAAACGCCATATCCTGCACTTTGGGAGAAGATTTACCAGAATTCTAACAATTTACCAATTAACAACTTACCTTTGTCAAAAAGTGGGGGGCCCAATGATACTTAGGCCCCCCCAAGTAAAAAAGTGAGGGGGCCTGAGCCCCCCCGGCCCCCCCGCTTCCGACGCCCCTGGTTTGATCATTGATTATGGAGCACTTCCGACTGGAATTTTGGAGTATATTCAATTGTGAGTTAAAGGCAAGATGCAAACATTTTTCCAGAGCAAGCAATTTGAACTTCTTTGGAACGATGCAGAGCTTACCATTTTGGTCAATTTTGACGACTTTTTCAACTGTTCAAAAACTGTCTTAAAATGCTAAAAATGGCTTCCTAGCACTAATATCTTTCATTTTAGAGCATATTTGGAACATTGAAAAAGTCGTCAAAATTGACCAAAATGGTAAGGCTTACCCCTTACCATTTTGGTCAATTTTGACGACTTTTTCAAGTGTTCAAAAACTGTCTTAAAATGTTAAAATTGGCTTCCTAAGACTAATATCTTTTATTTTAGAGCATATTTGGAACATTGAAAAAGTCGTCAAAATTGACCAAAATGGTAAGGCTTACCCCTTACCATTTTGGTCAATTTTGACGACTTTTTCAACTGTTCAAAAACTGTCTTAAAATGCTAAAAATGGCTTCCTAAGACTAATATCTTTCATTTTAGAGCATATTTGGAACATTGAAAAAGTCGTCAAAATTGACCAAAATGGTCAAAGGCTTACCCCTTACCATTTTGGTCAATTTTGACGACTTTTTCAACTGTTCAAAAACTGTCTTAAAATGCTAAAAATGGCTTCCTAAGACTAATATCTTTCATTTTACAGCATATTTGGAACATTGAAAAAGTCGTCAAAATTGACCAAAATGGTCAAAGGCTTACCCCTTACCATTTTGGTCAATTTTGACGACTTTTTCAACTGTTCAAAAACTGTCTTAAAATGTTAAAATTGGCTTCCTAAGACTAATATCTTTTATTTTAGAGCATATTTGGAACATTGAAAAAGTCGTCAAAATTGACCAAAATGGTAAGGCTTACCCCTTACCATTTTGGTCAATTTTGACGACTTTTTCAACTGTTCAAAAACTGTCTTAAAATGCTAAAATGGCTTCCTAAGACTAATATCTTTCATTTTAGAGCATATTTGAACATTGAAAAAGTCGTCAAAATTGACCAAAATGGTCAAAGGCTTACCCCTTACCATTTTGGTCAATTTTGACGACTTTTTCAACTGTTCAAAAACTGTCTTAAAATGCTAAAAATGGCTTCCTAACACTGATATCTTTCATTTTAGAGCATATTTGGAACATTGAAAAAGTCGTCAAAATTGACCAAAATGGTCAAAGGCTTACCCATTACCATTTTGGTCAATTTTGACGACTTTTTCAACTGTTCAAAAACTGTCTTAAAATGCTAAAAATGGCTTCCTAACACTGATATCTTTCATTTTAGAGCATATTGGGAACAGTTGAAAAAGTCGTCAAAATTGACCAAAATGGTCAAAGGCTTACCCCTTACCATTTTGGTCAATTTTGACGACTTTTTCAACTGTTCAAAAACTGTCTTAAAATGCTAAAAATGGCTTCCTAACACTGATATCTTTCATTTTAGAGCATATTTGGAACATTGAAAAGTCGTCAAAATTGACCAAAATGGTCAAAGGCTTACCCATTACCATTTTGGTCAATTTTGACGACTTTTTCAACTGTTCAAAAACTGTCTTAAAATGCTAAAAATGGCTTCCTAACACTGATATCTTTCATTTTAGAGCATATTTGGAACATTGAAAAAGTCGTCAAAATTGACCAAAATGGTCAAAGGCTTACCCCTTACCATTTTGGTCAATTTTGACGACTTTTTCAACTGTTCAAAAACTGTCTTAAAATGCTAAAAATGGCTTCCTAACACTGATATCTTTCATTTTAGAGCATATTTGGCCGGAACATTGAAAAAGTCGTCAAAATTGACCAAAATGGTCAAAGGCTTACCCCTTACCATTTTGGTCAATTTTGACGACTTTTTCAACTGTTCAAAAACTGTCTTAAAATGCTAAAAATGGCTTCCTAAGACTAATATCTTTCATTTTAGAGCATATTTGGAACATTGAAAAAGTCGTCAAAATTGACCAAAATGGTCAAAGGCTTACCCCTTACCATTTTGGTCAATTTTGACGACTTTTTCAACTGTTCAAAAACTGTCTTAAAATGCTAAAAATGGCTTCCTAACACTGATATCTTTCATTTTAGAGCATATTTGGCCGGAACATTGAAAAAGTCGTCAAAATTGACCAAAATGGTCAAAGGCTTACCCCTTACCATTTTGGTCAATTTTGACGACTTTTTCAACTGTTCAAAAACTGTCTTAAAATGCTAAAAATGGCTTCCTAACACTGATATCTTTCATTTTAGAGCATATTTGGAACAGTTGAAAAAGTCGTCAAAATTGACCAAAATGGTCAAAGGCTTACCCCTTACCATTTTGGTCAATTTTGACGACTTTTTCAACTGTTCAAAAACTGTCTTAAAATGCTAAAAATGGCTTCCTAACACTGATATCTTTCATTTTAGAGCATATTTGGAACAGTTGAAAA